GGGCTGGACTCGATGATCTTCTGAGATCCCTTCCAGCCCGAATGTCTACGAAATCTATGTATATAGACTAAAGACAGCCGCAAAGGGGAGAGACCTGGATGTAAACGGTTGATTGTCATATGACTGCGAGCCGCCAAGTAATGTGAAAAAGGCTAATGCAATTCTTGTGTCTACTAGGTGGCTTATATTCAGTAGAGGAGAAGAAGAACTAATGCTGTTGTGCAGGGCATTGGTAAGACCATTTGAATGACTCTCTTAGAGGCGGTGGAGGTCTAGTCACCAATATTCATAAAAGATTAACTTAAACTGGAGGGGGTGGGGCATGCAGGAAAACCACTAAGATAGTTCATAGGAAAGATGATTAAAGGAGCTTTGCTGGTTCATCTTAACAAAATGGGGATTGAGAGCAGTTACAGATTGGCCAAGACTGGGCTAGGAAGAAGGGGAGGGCTGTCCTCCTCTGTAGCAGAGGATATAGTGATCCTCTGAGCTGATATTTAACCAATTACATTGCAGTGGCAGGGCACTGGCTGTTCTCTCATCTACCTGCTTTTCTCTTTTGCTGCTTGTGGAGTGTTTTTGGTGTTTCTGTTGTCCTGTCTGAGGGCTTGTGGCAGTTTTGAGGACTGTGGCTAAATGTTTGCCTGGAAATGCAGGGGACTGGACTTGATGACCCAGGTAGCCCCTTCCAGTTCCATGTTCCTATGTTATTCTGCAGTTTTGCAGGTACTACTGGTTATCTCGCACCTGCAGCCCAACTATTTACACCTGCCTGAGCCTAGAAATAGCACAGTGTGAAGCAGTTTCAAGAAAAGTCTCTCCTGAAATAGCCTCTGAATCTTATAGTCTTCCTTTTTGGCCCCTTGACCCTTTGCTGCTACATCCACTGCAGGTGAGGAAGGGCAAGCTGTAGCTGTAGCTGTTGCTACTGTGGCTGTAAAAGCCACATCCAAAAGTGCTCATTCGTGCAGTTTTTCGCTTCCAAAGCGATGATGGTCTCATAGCCTGTCAAATGCATCTTCAGAAGTTACTGCTTCGTGGAATGGAGGACTGTCCTCTTCCCAGTGATAATATTAGGAGTTAGAACAAAAGGTGCCAGGTACCAGAAAAGAGGTGGATCAGGGACCATCACGGAGCAGACATGGGAATTTTAGAGTTTGACCTCTGGGTGTGCAACATGGAGACGGTCGGATATTTTCCACTACAGATACAATCCTCAATGGCAGACACAGTCCCACAATGAATTGGGCTCAATAGCAGTGCAGAAGTGTGGGGTATCCCCTATGATGCTGAACATGTGCTCTGAAAACTGACTTGCAGTGAAGGAATAGCGGGCTGTTTGTTTAGGTGTGCTGACTTCCTACCATCTGCAGCAGCTGTGTTGAAGAATCTCACTTCGTTGTAAATCCTCCAAAGTACAAACCCCTAAGCATTAGCTTTAAAATATGCAGCTGCCTACAAGCACAATTTCAACCCCTAGCTGCTTTCTCTAGTCTTTCCGTGGTTGGTAATAAGTACGCTGCGTGGAATGCTTTAGATAAGATTTTTATTGAACTGTAAACGTACATTGCTTTTTTTATAGATTGGAGATAAGCCCGACTCTGCCTGGAAGGGCTTGCAATCTAAACAAGACAAGTTAAACACACTACAGGACATGGTAAAGATTTCAGGATAAGCATTATCTGGGTTTGGTGATAGAAAGTCACTTAGTATATTTGTTTGAAGACGTGAGTTTTATGGAGAGCTCTGAAGGAGGGTAGGGAGGACATTTGGCAGATGGAGACAGGGCAGGAGGCAGAGGCAAAAAGCCAAGAATGCGAAGAGACAAAAGGAGGAGTAAGGTGGATAGTAGATAGGCAGAAAGTGGGGAGATTAGAAGGTGAAATGAGGATAAAAAAGTGGAAACTTGTAGGAACAGAGCCTCTTGCCTCTCTTGCAAGAGCTGGATGGATCTGTGGTGGGGAAGCTACTTGCATGCTTACATTGAAGCACTTGTTTAAGCGCTTTGCTGCACCAGGGGCTCAGTGAGGAAAAGGCAGATTTGGGAGATTTTGTTAAGGGACAAGCGATGCAATTTAATGAGCGAGAGGAGGAAGAAGAGTCACAGATCGTATTGAGATTATAGACCTGGAAGATGGGACGTATAATGGGCTTGTTAGCAGATCTAGTAAAGGGGAAGGTGGAGCTCCTAGGCTGTCTGGCAGGGGTGGTCAAGCCGTGACACACATGCCACTAGTGGCAAAGGCAGCCTCTGTGTATGGCATGTGGCAGATCAGGGAGGGAGCGGGGAACATGGTGGCGGACAAGTCAGGGAGCAGAAAGCAGAGCAGCAGATTGGCCAGGAGAAGAGGATTCGAGTGGCACTCGTGGAGGGTGTAGGCCTTACGTTGTAGCATGCCTGCCAAAAAGGTTGGCCCCCACTGCTCTATGGTTATGAACGTAATAATAGCACTTTCCTTTGCCTGATTTTACTTCCTTTTACTATTTTTCTGTCGTGTACTGGTGGAGCTGCCATACCAAAGTGTCTGCATTTTGGTCATGCTCTCTACATTATAAATTATATTGAGAAGGACATGCTTTTGTCACTTGATTGAAAATGGCCATATGTATTTTAGAGGTAATTAATTAATTAGCACCCTGGGGCCCAGGCAGTGCAGACTTAGTTTCCTAAAGCTGTACCTCTAATTGAGTAGACTGCTTTTAACCTCCAGTCCCTTCCCTGAGCCGGTATAATAATTACAGACGGTGACCATCCACTGGTGTGTGGGTGGATTTAATAATAAAGAACTAATTATGATGACAATTGTTTTTGTATGCATTTGGCACAACAATTCCCAGAAAAAGAATGAGGATCATGAAATAACACTTTACACAAGCCAAAATGTGATGTCTATGGAAAAACAAACTCCTCTACAAACTGGCTTCTGCTTTGTGTTGGCTGTAAAACAAACAATATTATGAAGCATATATTGATATTTAGCAACTGCAGTAATCTAGATTTTTTTTTATAAAGTGTTCACTTGCATCCTGTTTACAAAATGTCCTTGAACAGCCCGCATCCAAAATGTTATAAGGGGGTATTGTCACGATAAGGGTGATTCCACAAGCATTCATTTGGGACAGCTTGATCTACACACCAGAAAATACATATCCAGGTTGAATTAAAATTATTAGCAGTTATTTCACTTGATGCTAGAGGTGTGTGAAGTGGGTCCTATTGGTTTTGGATTCGGATTCGGCCCAAATCGGGGTCAGTGATTCGATTTGTTGATTCAGATCACTGTCCCTGGTTCAATTCGGCCAAATCTGAATCTGAAGATTCGATGCTGATTCAGAGAATCGGCGATTCCAACATAGACGCAGCTTTAGAACATTTTTCTATGTACCTCGAGGTACGAGGAGCGACCTGTGATTGCTGCGATGCTGGGGTGCATGGAGCGTCCCATAGGAGTGTGGGGGTGCCCTCCACGTGCTCAGCGCCAAACCCGGAAGTGGACTGGAAGTACTTCTGGTCCTCTGCTGGGGAGTGCGCTTCCCCCCCCACGCCCCCAGCTCAGCAATCGGCCACGGGGGGACCGTGGGTGCTCCCCCCAGACCCAGGAGGCACCAGCCGCTGAGCTGGGAGGGGCATAAGGCCGCCCCCATATGCTCCCCAGTGGACCCAGAAGTGAACCGGACATGATTCTGGTCCACTTCTCAGTCTACTGCTCCCCGTGCTTCTGTGGGACACTCCATGCGCCCCAGCATCGCAGCACTCATGAGCCACCTGCTACCTACAGGTATGTAGAAACATTTAAAGCTGTGTCCATGTCCAAATCGCCAAATCTCTCCGAATCGTTTTTGGAGGGTTCTGATTCGATTTGGAGAGATTAAAGGGTCCTCTGATTCGATTCAGCTTCAGCCACCGAATTGGACCGAAAATCTGCTGAATCAAATCAGGGGCTGAAGCTTTGCACAGCCCTACTTGATGCTGAGATTCTTTAGGTTCTCCCAAACTAAGTAGAGTAACAATAATAGTTGGATAATGGGGACTAAGAAATAAATAACCAGGGTCAACAGGAAATGGTGTGTTTAATTCAGCAGATGGGGCTTTCCTTCAAAATAAGAATGAAATCAGTGAGTGCCTTCGATGGTTTAGAGTTAATGCCTGTGGACATATTAGCAGCTACTGCAAGTTCCCCATGTCTAATTAAAGTCAAAACTCTGACCTCCCTCTCTCTTGTTGGTCTAAATCAAAACTTTTTCAGTTTACTATATTCTTCCTTTAATTGCCTGCTATTTTATATAGCTGGTATATAACAATTCCTCCTTCATTTTAGCAGAGTTAGGCCCAAGCAATGAGATTTGCATTTGGACCTGAAACTTAACTTTGAGCTGTGGTTCTTCAACTTTAGGGTACCAATCTAAGCATTTACAAAGGCCTGAGCTCCAAAGTTACAGTCTCAGGAAATTTAGATGTATTTTATTTTTATTTGGGTCTCTTTCCTACTTGAAAGGTATCTTTCATACGGCTATTATAATTCGGGGGGTTGACTCCATAAATTGATTCATTGGTGCAGGTCCCTGTGGAAGCCAGTAAGGTAGGATCAGTAAATGGGTCTGTCCTGGTGCATCTCCTTGAAGAACTGAGGTCTTACCATGGAAACAGAAAAGCCAGGTTTGTTGTTGACATGTTCTGTGAAGTTTAGCTGACTTCAGTGGGTTTTATAGGGGGTAAATCAGCAATTATTTTGGCAAACCATGTCTCAGTACACTTACCAGTGGACAAGGGCCTATGTCCCTGAACCACCAATCCAACTAATCTTAATGAAAGCTGTAGCAGAAAGGGTAAAACCTGAGTGTGGATGGAGACAGAGCTACTTTCTAGCCTCTGACTCCAGGCAAATGCACATGAGTGGTATAGAGTTGGGGTAGCTTGCAGGACTGTAGTCTGTGCTGTATTTATTCTGTGGATAAACAGGAGGCTTCAGTCTCCAGGGCTCTCTTTGGCAGCGTCTACCAGCACTGACGTTTTTAACAAATAAACAGAAAAAATCCTGAGAGGTTTGTACAGTAGCAACAGCAGCCAAGCAACTTTTTCTCCAGCTTTTATGTGTGGGGGTGAGCAGATGTTCCAAAAGCAATAAAATGCAGAAACACAACAATTAGCAAATGCACATAATTAAGCCTCTTTGCCTAAAATACTGATTTAGAGCATATCTTCACCTACTCGCATTTCCCACTAAAAATAAAATAGATTTAAGGTCCCAAACGTACTGTGTGAGTAGGTGTGTGTGGGGGGGGGGGAACAACACCACATGATAATGACAGCATGCCATAGTGATTCTATTGCATAGCAATCCGGCTGTCTTCCCATGTTATCCTCCCTCCAGCAGTCTGACTTGAGCTTTCTGGACCTATCTTCTAGACATGCTGTCTCTGCATTTGTTGGTTTTATGTTTATATCATCATCAGCTGACTGCAACCACATTTCCATGCTGGTGTTAACCTGCAAAAAAATGTTGGGCACCATTAAGAAGGGAGGACATTGTTGTGCCACTATACACATCCGTGGTGTGCCCATATCTAGAATAATGCATGCAGTTTTAGTCCCCACATCTCAAAAAGGATGTAGCAGACTTGGAAAACGTGCACAGAAAAGCAACTAAAATGGTCAGGGGCCTGGAGCTATTGCCACACCAGAAGAGAATAAAAAGGCTAGGACTCTTCAGTTTGGCAAAGAGAAAGCTGAAGAGGGATATGATAGAAATTTATAAAATTATGAAGGATGAGGACCAAGGGAACAGTTTTTTCACCAAGTCCCAGAATACTGTACCTAGGGTCTGAAATTAGTAAGTGATAGGTTTCAAATTAACCAAGGAAAGTCCTTTTTGTACACAACTTATGGTATTCATTGCCACAGGAGGCAGTAGAGGCAGACGGTGTAGCCAGGTTAAAAAAAAGGGACTGGATAGATGCATGGATGATGGATCTATTAATGGCTATTGAACAGAATGGTTGGAGATGTTTCCTTTGGCATTTCTAAACCAGTAATGGTGGATGCTAGGGATAGGGGATAAATCACTCTAGAGAGATCCAGTGCACACTCTCCCTGTATAGCATCCATTTCTGCCACTATCAGAGACGAGATATACTGGGCTAGATGGACCATTGGTCTGACCCAGTAAGGCACTTCTTATGTTCTTAATCATAATTTTTTTCACTCAGTTTTTGCAGCCTTCAAAATGGGCAACGTCTCCCACTGGAGAGGCCAATGGCTTAGGAATCTGAAATGTGGGGCTCAGGTCCGAGCATGGTGTCAACTCAGCCAAATTTGAGTTGGTCTACTAAAAAATATCGCCTCTATCCAAAGATTTCATCTGCCTCTCTGCTTAGATCAACATGGCTATAGCCTAGATTCCCAATCTCAGACAAATCGCTTCATCTGTCCATGGCACTGTTCCCCATCCCATCCTTTGTCCATTTAGATTGTAAATTCTTTGGGGTGAGACATTACCTTGTGTGTTTGTGCAGATATAGTTCCTACCCCAATGGGATCTCAATCTTGATTAGGGGCTTCTAGGCACTGCTGTAAGGCAAATGATAGTGTGTATATATGTACACCCCCTCCTTACACAAGAAGTTTGTGACTATTAGCCATGGCCTTGCACTGAGGCAGCACTGCCTCAGGATTACCTCTGGAAGGGATTATACTTTAGGAAGGCAGAGTTCCCAGAAACACTGCAGTAAATCTTTACTCAGCACCGTCCTTTACTTGGGCTGGAAGCAGAAGCTAGAGAAATTCTGACTGGATATAAGGCATGTATTATTTTTTTCTTACCAAAAGGTGTTTAAAACGGGATGTGGTGGGTTCCTGGGGCTGGAAAAGCCAGACACTATCCTATTTTATGTGCAACTTTATTCCATCCTCAAGTCTCTGAGAAAACGAGATGTGCCTACTTTGTAACACTGCCATCTTCTGCAAGCTAAGTCACAAAAAGCAGCAAGTAAGAGGTGGACACGCCTGCCTTTTCTTTTGTCTTAACAGTCTTTCAATTAATGAAATAGGGTGCAATGGGGACAGTTTAAGTTAACTCTAGGCAGCTAATAGGTGGAAAAGAAATTGGCCTAGTGTCTTGGAGTCAAGGTTTAGGTGCCCTCTAAAATGGGCCAGAAGCTGTGAGGGTAAGTGTCTATTTTGTATTATAAAGGAAGATGCGTTTCTTGCCTTGGAAAAGATGGGACCATTGTAGTTTCATTAAGGCTTATTCCCAATCCTTCATTAATTCTACAGCTAGGGGAATCTATGTCTCTTGGGGGATAGCAGCCCAAAAGTGATTCATCATCCTTTGGTTGCTAAGTGGGGAAGTGCAACTTGTGAGACAGATGATTAAAAATGTGTAACGAAATGTGGACATTTGCCCATTCAGGGGCTCATCCATCAACTAGGGCCAAGGAGCTGATGGGGTGCTGCGCTTCAGATTAATCCTCTCTAAACCTCTTGTGAGAAGCACAGAAAATGAAATTACAGTTGCTGACTCATTTCATCACAAGGGTTGTCATATTCAGAGGAGTGCATGTGTGTGGGTGTTTGTGAAGCTTTTAACATTTCTCGTGATTTCCCCCGATTCTGGCATCGAATCCACAAGCTTTTGCCTTTATTCAAAGTGGCTACCACCTACCCAGCTGTTCTGCACAGCCTTTGCCATGTGATCGTGCAGTCGCCTTTGGTGAAGAGGGTCACTGTCTTCTGTGGTTGCCATTAAGACTGAAGGTGCGGTTGAGTCTCTCTTGTGCTGTCACTGTACTGTACTAATTAGACCCACTTCCAGATCCTGCATGCTTTCAAGCCAGCTGGGCAGAATGCAGTTATTTTTTTTCTAATTCTTGTGCTTCACAGTGTCCTCCTGGGTGCAGCGCTCTGGTCTGGCACCCTTCCTAGGATGTCAAAAATACCCATGCCACCTGCCTTAGGCCTTAAAACTAGGACTAAGCCCTCCCATGCTTCTCCAGTCGCTTACAGAAGTTTTCTTAGACTCACCTCTTGTGGTTGCTATGGTTTATTTCACCGTCCAGGGACACGTGGCAGGAAAAGCAAGGGACCCCAGCTTTGCAGAGGTGCTCAAATGCCCACATGCCCTGTATTCTGGCAGACAAGGTTGTTTGGGTAAATGCAATATCTTTTATTAGACTGGCTTAATAGTTGGAAAAATTGTTCTTTGCAAGCTTTCCGCACAAACAGGGTGTTTTTTGTCCGAAAGCTTGCAAAGAACATTTTTTTCCAACTATTTAGTTGGTCTAATAAAAGGTACCATGTTTACCCAAAGAACCTCGTCTGCATGTGTCTTTAGACCAACACGGCTACAGCCAACAACCCTAAAGTACGGAGCATGCGGTATTCTTGCATGTGATATCTGTGCCTGAATGCAAAGTCCTTTCAAGACCCCAACCACACTGAAGAGTTCGGGTTTGGGTAGAGTCTGTGGGCTAAGGCAAAGCCCCTCTTGCCCCCAATTCCTTTAGTTGCCTCCCTGTTTCTGGTAATGGTTTTTGGGCTTTGAGAGACTTGCCACGTGTTGAAAGCAGTTTCTTTTCTTCTGCTGGCGGGTTTTTTTACTCAGCCTCCTATGTTGACTGCTCCAGACAGCATCTTTAAAAACCCATTGTTCTGCCACTAGCAACTGTTGCCTTACCAGGGTGGAAATACCCTTGTTGATGGCACCATTTTCAGACATAATCTAGTCCTACTATAAAAGAAGAGTTTATAGTCTGCAGTGAAGGCCACACTAGTGACCAATATTTTACAAAGCAAAAAGGGAAGTTTATCATTTTGCTAACTTGTCACAGTCTCCATCTCTTGTTTCTAATTAAAGTGAGCTCGAGGTTGCGCTGAGAGATGGTGACTGACTTCCAGGTTCAGTCCCCTTGTACCTCCCTCGAAGTCTAATTCCTTCTTAGAGGAAAACCATCTGCTTTGCTGCTAAGATAGAAACATAGCGCTTACAGAGGGTTAGGTGTCTAAGCTATGACATAATATCTTCCTTGACCCGTTATGACACCATGAATTGCATCAGCGCATTTCAAGTTTTTCTGTATCTATATTTTCACCCTATATGACTAAGTTTGCTCTACTGTGCATGCTGAGAAGCTCATAATGGCCACAGAGGTGTCCATCTCCCCTTGTGCCTTGTTGCAATTCAGTTTTGTCACCAGAAATGAAAGGCCATACAAAATGCCAGCACTGCCATCAACCAAGAACTCTGCTTCCCAACTTTTTGAGGATGGTGATAAACTATTCTCTGTGGCCACATTTTCCCTCTCTTGCAGGAAGGGAAATTTAGATTGGATACCTAATAGGAAGCATTTACTTCATTTTAAACTTCCTCATGGAAGAATGAGCTAAGCATTGGAATAAACTATCTAGAGAGGTAATCAAATCTCCACCCTTGGAATTTTTTTAAGAGCATGTTAAGCACACTTGTCTAGGATGGTTTAGACAAGGATGATCCCATCTTGAGCAGGGGATTGCACTAGATGACCTTGTGAGGTCCCTTCTAGTCCTACTTTTCCATGACTCCATGCCATAGCTTACAGAGGGGGTTGGCATGCCAACCTTTTGCCTAAGTGATTACACCACTTGGCCAGGACATAAAGGCCCATGTTTTAAGCCTGCTTACACCAAAGAGATTTAAACTCTGCTTTTCTACATATCACAACAGCATCATGAGTACCAGGTCACAGGACTTAGAGCAACTTCTTGTCCGAGTTAGACCTCTGCACAGCGAAGAAGCAAAAAGTCCTGGAGCCACAAGGAGACTACGCAAGAGGGACTTGGACTTAGGCTTGGTGACTCAGGAAGTTGGATACTGTTCTGGCTGGGGAGGACTGAATCCTCACTTCCAAGGCTGCTTGTACATTTTGTATTTCAAAGTCATTGGAAAAAATGCATAAATAACACTGGGAACAGAGAGCAGGCTTACTCACATGCTGCTCCACCTGCTTGAAACTCCTTCCTCATTGGGCTGGAATGGACGCCTGTGCTGTACAATTTGGAAAGCATTTTAGCGGGAACCCTCAGTATTTCATATAGGAGAGACCCATTGGAAGACATTACTCAGAGTCCTTAACAAGAAACATGTACATGGGTTTGGAGCGAAGAAAGTAACGGCTGGTGGACTGTTAGTAGCAAACTTTAAGGTCTATGATTTTCCTTTAAGAAAAATAAAGCCACATGTAAAATATTCAGCATTCTCCAGTCATCTGTCACTAGTCTACACTCCCTTATGGGATGCCAGCCTACTCTTTCCATTGTCAGATCTCTCCTGATGCCTGAATAACTAATTTAAAAATTACACATGTAGAAGGGAGGAAGAAATATTTAAACCAAGTTAATACAACCTATTTATGTAGAAGTTGCTGTTATCCAGGGGTGGATCCAGGGAAGGAGGGGAGTATAGGAGCATACTGATGCAGTTGTGTCATTTCTCCACCTTTGATTCCTGCTCCATCCAAAGTTTAAAACCAACGGCCTGGCAATGGCAGCAGCATTTCTAGTGAGGCAGCACTGAGGGAGTCCATTGACTTCATGGCTCATTGTCATCTACCTGATCCCTTCTACACTCCTCACTCCACAGGCATTAACAACCCTTTCTTCTGTTTTAATGCTCCTGATGTCCAGACAATCAAGCTATCTTTTATTCTGCAATTCTTCTGCATGTTCACTGTTCCTGGTAATGCAGCTGCTATTTTACAGCCCTGCAGATTGTCTTTAACTCATTCCAATGAAGTAGTGGTTTTTTGGTTGGGTTTTTTTTGGGGTTTTTTGAGTTTTTTTTTAAATCTTAAACTGAATAATTCAACCCTGGGCTCCTAGCATATTGGTAAAGCTTCTAGTTTATTTTTTACTAGAGAAAAAGATGCCTTGTTTTATGCACCTTGCCATCTGCACCCCACTTTTCGAAACCCTGGATCAGCCCATACTGGTATCTACTGGGTGGGGGAGGAGGTAGTGGAATAGCTTAGTACTGAAGTGAATCCTGCCTTGTAAGTAAATGCTCTTGTACATGTAGAGGAGGAGGGCCTTTTTACTTAACTTAAGACTACCTGTTTCTTA